CTGGCCTTCCCTCACTGCTACCGCGTGCAATTGATCCGCCCTACGCCTCATACGGGCGATCTCTCTCCGATTCTCCGCGTGGAGTCGGGGGGCAGCATCCACAACGGTCACATGCTCTCTGCCGCACTCTCATGGCTCTGAGTCATCGTAACGGTTGCTCGCTCTACTGCTCGTTCTCAGGTGCCGCTCTGTTCGTACTTATTCTGCTCCGTGGCCGCTCTTTGCCGTCGTTCTGAGTTCCTAATTGCATCAAGATAGCTCTCTCCTGTCCAGAAGGAGATTCGGTCGGTTCTTGTTTAATCTCTCCCTTATGTTGCAGGGCGCTCTTGCTGCACGGCCGCGCCTTGCGAATTATTCTCGTAGCAATAGGCCCTGTCATTCCCGCGCGGGGCATGCCCTTCCTACGCGGGGCTCGTCCATCTCAAGCCGGGCAGGCGTCTGGCCGTCACACTGGCCACCCGGCACACGTGATGACCCTCATCGAAGGTTTTGTAGATGCTCCCTCAGCTTGGACATGGAGAGAGAGGGGATAGGAGGAGGAGGACCAAGGTCTCTTGGTCCGTCCTGTCCTCTGTCACGTCCCAAACAGGTGCTGCTCTTCCGGCTGGGCCGCCTCATCCTCGCAGTGCACGTCATTCCTCAGGCCGTGGTTCATCCCCAGGCTCCTGCGCGCTCTGCAACCCTGTTTTCCTGTTCGCAGGTGCTGCGCTGACCTCAGCTTCAGCTGCTGCCTGCCGGAACGGCGTCTTTCATGATGGCACCGCCTCTTCCACTTACTTATTTCTTTTTCACGGACGCGGCTCAGTCCGTGGGTTTTTGGGGGTCATATCAAGGCCAGTGGTTAGCTGCACCCTGGCCCCAAGGACTTATTACCCCTATCACTATAATCCCTGCATTCAACACTCCGAAAGGAAGGTGCCGTCACACTTTCATTATGCATTATTTTTCCCCTGTCCAGATAAACACCTGATGAAATGCACTCCTCCATGCACGGAGAGGAGATTCAGATGGGCTGCTATTTCTCTCTCTGTCAAATGACGTCATGTTTGCGCAATGTATCCAAGCCCATTTAATAAATCCGGCCGGTCTCCTGTGATCTCCCGATTCTCCAATACCGGCCGCTGGATTAGAATAGCCGCCGCACTCCAGCCTGCTGGGCCTTCCTCACTCTTCCCTACAGCAAATGGGTCAATGGTCCACGGCTTGGTCCTGCCTCATCCTCTATCAGACTAAACACTGACACTATTCTGACTGCTCAGCGCTCCCTCTTCAATCTGAGGTAATTATCAAATACTCTGGTGGTGGCTAAGGCTCTTCTCTCACATAAGCATTCTCAACATCGTTGCACTTCAATCCGGACATGCATATGATCACCTTGTCTTACATCATACATTCATGCTCACCGCAGCGCTCTGTGCAGAGAAGCTTCTCTGCATAACCCCCTACGGCTCACGCTATACACGCACCTCACGAAGCGGCCTGTGCGCGAGAGGCAGCTCCGCACGCCCCAAGGGCCCACGCTTCTACACGCATAGTCATTACAGAGCGTGCGGCCTCGTCACCCCCGCATATTCTCTGTATCATACGCTGACACACGCATGCTCAAATATAGCAGATCTTGTATGAGAAAGCTCTCTACATTGCTGCTCCACATTCTCAACACGCAGAGCCCGCATCAGCTCTGCGATTACACGCATTTACTCTTCACTTCATGCATCCACCACGCACGCATGATCACATAGCCGCTCATTCAGTGAGTGTCTGTTCCCACAGATCCCCTGCGGCCTACGTCATACATGCACCCTCACGAAGCGGTCTGTGCGCGAGAAACCCTCCGCACGCTCCACGGGCCAACGCTTCACACACGCATAATCATTACAGAGCGTGCGGATTTGTCACCCCCGCATATTCTCTGTATCCTATTCATGCAATTCTGCTTCCAGGCAATGCTGCCTCCATGCAATGCAGCCTCCACGCAATGCTGCCTCCAGGCTATGCTGCCTCCAGGCTATGCTGCCTCCAGGCTATGCTGCCTCCAGGCTATGCTGCCTCCATGCTATGCTGCCTCCATGCTATGCTGCCTCCATGCTATGCTGCCTCCATGCAATGCTGCCTCCATGCAATGCTGCCTCTATGCAATCTATGCAATGCTGCAATGCTGCCTCCATGCAATGATGCAATGCTGCCTCTATGCAATGCTGCCTCTATGCAATCCATGCAATGCTGCCTCTATGCAATGCTGCCTCCATGCAATCTATGCAATGCTGCCTCCATGCAATGCTGCAATGCTGCCTCCATGCAATGATGCAATGCTGCCTCTATGCAATGCTGCCTCTATGCAATCCATGCAATGCTGCCTCTATGCAATGCTGCCTCCATGCAATGCTGCCTCTATGCAATCTATGCAATGCTGCCTCCATGCAATGCTGCCTCCATGCAATGCTGCCTCTATGCAATGCTGCCTCCATGCAATCTATGCAATGCTGCCTCTATGCAATGCTGCCTCTATGCAATGCTGCCTCCATGCAATCTATGCAATGCTGCCTCTATGCAATGCTGCCTCCATGCAATCTATGCAATGCTGCCTCTATGCAATGCTGCCTCTATGCAATGCTGCCTCTATGCAATGCTGCCTCTATGCAATGCTGCCTCTATGCAATGCTGCCTCTATGCAATCTATGCAATCTATGCAATCTATGCAATGCTGCCCCGATGCAATGCTGCCCCGATGCAATGCTGCCCCGATGCAATGCTGCCCCGATGCAATGCTGCCCCGATGCAATGCTCCCACGCCTCCAGATAGGCAGCTTCCCACGGGAGGCCTGCGCATTCCCCGGCACACATAGCGTGGCTTCCTCTTTTGGGGGATCTGAGATCATCTCAGCTGCAATCGATCTCATAGCTGCAAGTGTCACTGCCGGGGTCAATGCGCCAAACAAATAAATCATTTTAATGTATTTATCGTGTCTTTGGTCTCTTCAGATTGAAATGAAGCTCAAGCGGATGTTCAGACTGAAAGACCGAGTGCCTGCCAGCCTCGAGCCTCAGCCAATCACACAGCTCTGCCAGCCTCGAGCCTCAGCCAATCACACAGCCAGGCCAGCCTCCTGCCAACCCTCTCAGAGCAAAGCGGGCAGTTTAAAAGGCAGCCACTTCCTGACAAACAACGCTTCCTGAGGCTCTTAAACACCCACCACCTCCCCAGCACCCCCTCTGGCTCTTGGCTCCCGCTCTGGCTCCCGCTCTGGCTCCCGCTCTAGGCTCCCACTCCGGCTCCTGCTCCGCCTACGCCCCATTCACACCATACTCTAGCCACCACCAGTGATTGACCCCGGGGGATCTGAGATCATCTCAGCTGCAATCGATCTCATAGCTGCAAGTGTCACTGCCGGGGTTAATGCGCCAAACAAATAAATCATTTTAATGTATTTATCGTGTCTTTGGTCTCTTCAGATTGAACAGCTACATTAGCGTCAGTGATTTCAAAGGTCCTGAGCTTTACCACGAGGTATAGAATGGCGTATTGGTGGAGCTGAAGTTGGCTGGATGACGCTATTAAAACAAGGAAAGGCCTAAAAGCAGAACAGCTAAATGTAACCTAATAAAGGAAAATAAATCCAGAAGAAAGTAAATAAACCGGCAAAAACTCCACACCAGAGGGCCACATAAGATGACACCTAGGGCCGCGTTTTGCCCACGGTCCTGAGTTTGGACATGCCTGGTGTAAGGAGAAAACCCGAAATCCTAACCTCTGACCTTGAGCTTTGGGTAAAGACCAAAAGACAAGACACAAGTTTTCTTTCCAAGGTGTTGATTGGGGAGTTCTGCGACAGTGGAGGAGCTCAGACTAGAGCCGATGCTTTGTCTGTGCACACTGGTGACTTTTGCTAATGTATTCCAATGTGGTTTTTTTTACTGCAAATGGCAAAGAAACGGAATCTGAAATCTGAAAATCTGTATAGAGCTGAGTTAAGGAGCTGGACAAAGTGAAGGGGAATTGACAAATGGGACAGAATCAATATCAGCCAGGTTAAAGCTTTTGATTTAGAAATAATGTTGAAAGGCTCTTGAAAAAGTAAAATGGTTTGAAAAAATCATGAATAAAATGTTGTCGTTAAAAAATATGTTATCTTTTGAAATTGAATTGAATAATAAAGATAATATTAATTGTGTATTGAGAAAAGGCAGTATAAGGAGAGAAGAGACGAGACATACACTTAATAATTTATTACTAAGACAACTGTTTTAATTCACATGTAAACATAAATAATGATTATTTTTATAAATATCATTCCTTTCTAGGACATGGACAATCAAATCACCAAAAGAACAAACAAAAGTAATGGTGGTATTCTTTTCCCTAAATGTCCAGTGTGTGATGTTTAACCAATACATTTAGGAGCACAGCGACTGGCCTCCTGCTGGGACTCTGAGGATTCATGCAGCTAAAATCTGGAATAGTCTTCCTGAAAATGTGAGACAGGCTTCTTCTCTCACAATGCTCAACTCCAGGTTAAAAACAGCTGTGCATACAACTGAAGGATTGTATCTTCACTCTTGTTAATGTACTGTGATTATTTATCATTTAAATACATTGGAATCTATTGTAAATCTGTCATAACTGGTGATATTTTCAAAGCATGTGTTATCACTTTAAATTGCTTTACACGTTCCTAAATCTCCGCTCATAGACCTCCCAGCAACAATTCTCGGCACAGTTCCACCTCTGCTGTTTCACAACCTTATTCTTTGACCTCTTCATAAACTACGCCAGCTCGACATTTTGCTTCTTGAAGTCCCGGTTTATCTGTGAGAATAATTGCGGCTTATCTCTGTGGCTGAAAAGCACACAGGAGATGAACGAGAGGCAGAGGAGGCCTGGAGGACGCTGGCGAAACTCGGCCCTGTTTTGGCTCCTAGCATTTTTAATCCACTGCGCAGGACTGAAGTTCACTTTTGTCAGGACTTTGTGGATCTCAGCAGAATCCGTTTTTGTTGCGTCAGTCTTTGCCTCGCTGAAGTACTTGGTCCAAAAGTTTCTGCAAAAAAAAAAAACATAATTCCTATAAACAAGTGCTGCATCTATTACTAATGTTTCACTGCATCTGGAAACACTTTAGTGAACGAATTGAGACCAGATATCCCCAATATATTACTGCTTTACTGAATTCATGTTATTTGTTATATGACACTAATACAAAAATGAGGGACTTTCTCGTCTGGCTTATCCAGAAAATGTATCAAAAAATATACATCATAACATTTCAACATCAGAAAGAGATGATAGAGAGACCAGAGAGAGACCAGATAGAGACCAGAGAGAGACCTGAGAGAGACCAGAGAGAGACCAGAGGGAGACCAGAGAATGACCAGAGGGAGACTAGGGGGGGGGGGGCCAGAGAGAGCAATCAGGGAGAGAACAGAGAGAGACTAGAGAGAGACCAGAGAGAGCCCTGAGAAAGACCAAATACCAGAGATGGACCAGAGAGAGCAGAGAGGGACTATCAGCCAGTCAAAACAAACCAGGCTCTTTCTTACAATAACATGTTTTCCAGTAAGATCAAACCAGCAATTTGATTTGTCCACAAAACTCTTTCAGTTGTGTTGCAGCATGTGTTATTTATGATGGGGTGAAAAGTCAGGTACCGCAGCTTTAACATAATGAAATCTATACAGTTCACGTAAGCCCTGGGATTCCCCTCAGTCACTTGTGTGAGCAGCAGCTGCAGAAGTCTCTCTCCTTGTGAAGAGCTCTTTGTCGCGTTCTAACTCTGGCCTCACACTCAGCACACAATGACCTCCCAGTTCAAACCCCAGTGACAGACACACATATGCATTTTTATACTTGTATACACGTCTGTGAGAAAGAGGACGTTGGAATGTATGATATTATTCCCAAAATGTGGAGAAAAGTGAAAAAATATGGTTTAGCTGGATTTAAGGGAAGAGAATCAAAGCGCTGTGTGTTGGCGACATCTAGCGGTTATAATAAATCATTACAAGTTGGACCCCAGAGAAAGTAGAGTTGAAAAAAGAAAAAAAATAGTTGTAATTTATGACACTACTGGTTGATTGTTACATAAATATGGAACATTAAGGTCTCAATATGATCTAAAATCTGCTGTGACTTGAAGGGCTTTTGCTGATTAATACCATTGTTAGCTTTTTAGAATGATCAATTTTATTTGTTATTTTTGCCTGCTACTGGACACCTGAATTTCTCCTACGGGGATCAATAAAGTATCTATCTATCTAAAATTATTTAATACGAAGCGGTATGTATTGTATCGTCAACCGTATTGGACTCTGCACTACATAAACACATACCATGTCAAAGCGGAAATATGTGTGTTAAGATGATAAACCTTTTTAAACAGATCGGCTCGTTGTCTGTTGCTCAAATTCTCCTCTCTCCGAGCCTCTTCCTCCTGTCTCCTCTGCAGCTCCGTGGGCCTGAGAAAACAAGAGCCACATTCAGAAAACTAACAAATACACTTGCCACTTTTTATTGTACATAATATATCATGTTTGCACATTTCTTTCTTTTGCACAATCTTGAGTGTTTCTATCCATGCCAGATGCGACATGTAAATTTCTCCTGTGTCAGATCAATAAAGTCTATCTTATCTTATCTGTATCATTGCACGCCATAAAAAGCAAATTCATGTTTCATGTATGTAGGATTGCACACATTTGTATAAATATTTGTTTAATTCATCACTGTACAGTCTGAGTCCTGGATCTATAACCTATTTGTTCAACCTACAACCAATTGTCATAGTTTTAAGTAATATTATGCAGATGTAAATGAATTAAATCAATGTATTTATAGAATGTTTCACTCAAATGGCTGAATAATGGAAACATAATAGGCACAATTGGTCATTTAACAGAATATATTTGTACTTGATTTCAATGCATATAGTTTACCAGTGTGAGCGATAACATAATTTCTTACTTTTTGTCTCATTATTTAAACAAGTAAGTAAGTAGTAGTAAGTAATGTTTATTTATATACCGCCTTTTCACTGCACATCGGAGTCTCAAAGCGGTTTACAATTGTGAATTTTTGCTAGTGGGGGTGCCAGTAGTACATATTTTTAGTGGTAGGGGAAACCGGAGCACCCGGAGGAAACCTACGCAGACACGGGGAGAACATGCAAACTCCACTCAGAAATGCCCTGGTCCAACCGGGATTCGAACCCAGGACCTTCTTGCTGAGAGGCGAGAGTGCTATCCACTCAGCCACCGTGCCCAACAACAAGCCCAAAAAAACACAGAAATGATCCATAGAAGTGCTCACCATTTGGAAGTGGGTTGCTGTCTTCTTGTTTTTAAAAGATGATCTGAAAACAAAGAAATAGCAAAACATATATACATGAGAAAAAAGAACTAATAAATACTTGATAATAACTAGAAAACATGCACTAGTTTATGGTGCTGAAACTAATACAACTTGTTGCAACAGGTGAAAACCACTGGAACAAGTGGGAAATATGTGTAAATGAGAACTGACCCCATGTTCTGTTGTATCTATTGTTGTTTTTTTTGGGTGATGTATTGAAAAAAATCTAAGTAAAATCTAAGTACAAAAAAATTGGGATCATGTACTTCCAAAGTGTGGCCGCTAGATGGCGACGTGGACCATTCAATGTCCTCCAAATGAAGCCGTTAAGTTGTCTGCAGAATTGAATTGACATTGCATCTTCTACAAAGTATTGGTATTGCTACAAAGTACTGGTACTTATATTTGAAGTTGTAGCAAAAGTAGTTTTCCAAAAAGTGTCATATTTAATCATTTAAGTCTTTCTGATAATGTGAGACAGGCTTCTGCTCTGGCAATGTTCAAATTCAGGTTAAAAAAAGTAATGTATTGTGATTGTTTCTTTCTTCTTTCTTTTCTATTTGTGCTATACAGATAAACTTGACTTACTGCAGTAGGGGCTACATTGCTTAGCTTGTCTCCCACTAAAATGACTACCTCAATTTGCCTGCTCAATCATTCTGTCCGGCTCAATCCTTTGAGTTTTCATCTTACTTCTTTTCCCAGTATTCCCAGTTTGTGCAGATTGGGAGTTGGTCCATCTCCTCTGCTGGACTCGTCTCTGCAGGTCTTCGGTCCTACGTTTGGATCGACTGATGAGGTCCGGACGAGACCTGAGCAGAGCCTCCTGCCGCAGAGCACATGACCCCAGACCTTTTACACATACTGTATATCTACTAAACTCTAACCCGTGCTGTCAAACTCCCGGATTTTAAAAGTGTCAGCTCTCCGGGGGCCAAAAGTATTGTATAAGTATAAGTTTAAGTTTAAGTGTGTGAAGCTCAACTTTACATCTGTGTATATTTGTTAGCATTTTTTACACTATGAAAGCATTTTGAAGCAAGGATTACTTTAATTTAACACGAGTTTGATATTATTTTTGGGTTGATTTTTCTGAACAAAACTAGTTCTGGTCTGTGAAATGCGCTATATAAATAAAGATTACTTACTTACATACTTACTCAGATCAGTCACTGTGTTTTTGGACTGAACCATAACTTCAGAATGGGGTATAGACATGCCATAGTAGCTCATAGCAACCATCAATGCTGCATGTTAATAACAATAATAATAAAAAGAAGGGGCCCCTGAAAATAGGTCTGGCGGGCCGCATTTGGCTCGTGGGCCTGGAGTTTGATTCCAGTGAACTGTAGGTTTGAGATGATTGTGATGGAACTTTTGAAACTAAATACCTTCATTTATTCGTTCATTCAAGACAGTCAGAATGAACTCGTGTTAAGAAAAACACACTTAATTACCGCAATATTTTATAATTTTTTGCAGTGTATTGATTTGATTGGAAGCCATTAAAATTATTCTAGTGGTTCCAGAGTATTAAAAAACTCCCACAGACACAGCTTGACTTCCAGTACTGTACATCTCTAAATAACCATAAGCATCCCCTTCTCTTCTTAAACACACCGTCGCCTTTGGGTTCCGCTGCTATAATGACTCACCTGTAGAGACATATTGGGAGTTGACCTTTGAATGTCGCTGCTCAGAGGCACGAAGGCAGCGGTGCGTGCTTTGGTCTCGCTGTTCCCGTCCTCTGCAGAGTCCTGGGCTGGATCTTCTACAGCTGAAATAAATAAATATGCATAAATACAGTATGATAAGCGATGTACATACAAGCCTAGGATACATAGAGTTAGTATAGTTAATTTGCCAGTACTGTATGAATGTATTCAGAAGCATGGCTAACCGCTTGAAACCTATCATATTTAACATAGGAGCATGGCTAACCACATCAAGCAATGTATTTGTGAACTTAAACGCATGGCTATCCCCTATAAGCATGCATTAATGAACTTAGAAATAATAACAGAATTAACATAGAAGCATGGCTAACCACATCAAACAACGAATGAATGAATGAATTTAGAAGCATGGATAACCCCTTTAAGTGTTATTTTAGAACAAAAAAGGGGAATTACCCCAGCTTTAAAACACAGCTACACTATCGTTCAAAAGTTTGGGGTCACCCAAGTGTTTTCCATAAAAAGTCACACTTATTCACCACCATACGTTGTGAAATGAATAGAAAATAGAGTCAAGACATTGACAAGGTTAGAATTAATGATTTGTATTTGAAATAAGATTTGTTTTACATCCACCTTTGCTTTTGTCAAAGAATCCTCCATTTGCAGCAATTACAACATTGCACCAAAAACCAGACATTTGCAGCTAGAATAGTCATTTACCACATAAGCAATGTACAGAGTGTATTTCTTTACAGTTAAGACTAGTTTAAAGTTATCTACAGCTTTTCCTTCAAAAATAAGGACATTCCAATGTGACCCCAAACTTTTGAACGGTAGTGTATACTACAGAGTTCATTTTCATTTAAATCGCTTCTAAATTGGGGCAAATCTAAATAAATGACTCATTTGAAATGTACCACAGTGATCTTGTGGTGAAGGAGAAGAGCCGTTCTCAGATTTTCCACTTGGCGTTTTCTTCTTGCTGAGTTTCCGTTGGAGTTTGATGTTTGCGATGATGGCGGCGGCGTTCAGAGCCAGGACGTCCTCCGGAGTTTGGTCAGGGTCTGAAATACAAATAAAACCACATTACAACAAAATGATAAATGATAAATATTGTCCACAAGTAGCAAATTAAAAGGGGACAGAACATTCAACACGTTCAATTCAATGTACTGTATTTGTGTGAAGCAACAACTGAGAATCAAACAGGTCAGCAAATGCAATCATAGCAAAACGTGATTAAAAATCAAAAGGTCCAAAAATGCTCAAATTTGGTAAAATGCATCTTAATTTCAGCACATGCCTTGACTATCATGCAAGATTTTTCAATGGTGCAGGTATTACTATCTTTTTTCAAAAAGATACTAAAAATGTCTCCCTTAAAATGACAGTTCTTGAAATACTGTATGACTGAATGGCTTTGTCCCACTGGCAAATCTTGTTTTAAGACAGTCAGAATGTGCTCCGATTAAGCTAAAAACCACTCGAATCAAGCAATTGTTATGACCAATGTCCATAAATGTTACTAAATGTCCCGGATCATCACTGTCCTTAGACCCTTTTCTGCATCAGCAAGAAACATTTCGACGACTGGGGGAGAACAGTGTATTTGAGACGACTTTTAGCTTCATTACGTGCTTCCCTTTTATTGCATTTCAGATACATTGTTTTTGTTATAATTTTTGTTTTCACTGCAGATGCAAACTTGCTGCGTAGCTTAAAACTAGTGCAGAACAGAGACAGGGACTGACTTTGTTTGAAAGTTACTGTAAGTACCCCAGCTTTAATTAACGATTACAAAAACACAAAACCAACTCTGTGCACGTTAAAAATCCTATTCAATCTTCAGTCCACGCTGTACTCCATGGCCTGTTCCACTACTTACAGTCATGAGTGTATCAAAGCTGAATAGATGATGCAGCCTGCGGCCTCTGTAATTAATTGATGACAGTCTTAATGAATGAGATTAAAGAATAATGAATAATTTCACAGAGAAAAATGACTGTATGAGGTGATGACAGAGCAGAGGGAGAAAGCTTAATCTCTCACAGTTTGAATGCAAATCTACACAGACGCCTTTATCCTCAGTGGGACACAGGACAAGCTAAATAGTCTTACAAATGTGGAGAAGGACATTATAAAAATTGTGTGTATATAAGTACTACGAAAAAACTCAATATTAAAAAAGTCATTATTAGTTGAAGTTGAAGGTTGTTTCTCTACAGCCTGAGTGAGGGTGGTCCTTTCTTTTTCACTTTTCCGGATAAGCTAATATGAATATGTAACGGAGCGACAACATACTGTACATGAATGTGAAGACTAGTGACTAGACTTTGTGGTTTGAAAGTTAGGTATACCCAGTGGCAAAAAATACATATATGTGAAAAATTGTTTTGAGGTCGAGATACTAGTTAGATTTCGCTATATTAAAAAAAAAAGAAACAAAAAAAGAGATTTTTTTAGCAAGCAATCACCCGTGAGACCCACCCATACACAACCTTGCTTCCTGATTGGATGAAATCACGTAAAATTGTTGTATTGACAGACGAGCCCTTTCTCTTTGGTTTAAGAGCTGAGCGTGAGTGTATCTATGTGTGTGTGTGTTTAATTAAATACTATTATTCTTAAATATCACAACGCTAACTTCCTTTTCCTCTTTCTAGTTATAGTGATTTCAGACCTACACCTTCATGACCTGTTTTGGCTTTCTATACAGCCGTGACAAGATTTAAAGTACTTGGAAACAGCTTTTCAAGGCATTATTATCTACAAATCCATGTTCATTTTTCCTTAGATATATTATACATGCAGTGAGTCAAGCGGGAGCTGAACAAAAGGCCAATGTGAGAATAGAGCGCAAAGGAAAAGGATTTTTAATGTCTCTTGCACTAAAGTCAACTGTTCTCTCATTATTGAATTTGTTTACAGAACTATAGGGGGGCGGCATCAAGAGCCTGAGAAAGCTAACTTTTGCATAAGTTCAAAAAGGTGAAAGCCTAAAAAAAAACAGATATATTTAGACAACAATCAAAAGCAACGTGACTCTACGAACAGACAGACAAAATCTATGTGGGACGTGACCCAGTTTGTATGGAAATTTGGGCAAAAGCAGGAAAAACTGCACAACCATTGTCATCTTTTTCCTTGGTTTGAATGTTCAACAATCTTGCACTAACTATATCTAGTGGTAGCAAATATATAGAAAACAAAATTGCCATAAAGCTGGGGTACGTGACTTTCAAGGTTACGTCCTCGTGTGGATGTTTGGTTAACCCTTTGATGCACAACATACGCACACCCCTATTAATGCACAACATGGGTCTAAAATGACCCGCATTCATTTCCCAGGTTATCTCATGCAGGCTGAGCATTTCTTTGCTGTTTCTTTTTAAATCAATGCATTTTATAATTCAATAATCCAAGTATTCTTTAAATATCTTGTCTTTGATTACCAAACATCAGTATTCATATTTTTCCTGCCTTACTTTTTGAACAAAATTCATTTTTGTATTACTATATCAAGATTACACACATGGGTCAAATATGACCCATTCATTCAATTGCAATTTAAAACAAAAATGAAGGCATGTAATAATACAATTTTGCTTCAAATATCTATTTTAGATGGGATTTGGGCCAAACAATCGTACATTTAACCTTTGAAACATGTTTATTTTTAATTTTGGAACACATACAAATAAATCCGACGAAAAAAAAAAAAAAACTGGTGCATTGACCAAAATAAAATAAAATATAACTGATCACACCGGTAGAGCACAACTTGTCAATTCAGTTCTCAAGATTTCTCAAATATAGAAAAAAGTGACCACTACACAATTGTGCTCATAGCACACAGGCCTCTTGCACTGGGAACACCAGCTGCTGGCTTTTCTGTCTTTGGCAGATGGGTAGATTGCACACCTCTTCCTCTTTCGCTGGGCACTCCTGTCTCATGTCCTCTTGTGGCTAGGTGGTGGCTGTGTTTTTGTTTTTTGATCCCACATCTTCCCATTGCTTCTATGATATGCTTTTGGAGTGTGGGTATGTCCTCCATGCGACAAGCTCTTTGCCCAGCTCCTAGATGAATAGCCGGCATGCATTGGTGACCTCAACCATGTAACCAGTGTGTTCTGCAGTGAAGTTGATGTAAGCATTGAGAGTGGTTGTTCTCCATCTGTTGTAGTACAGTATCACCTCTGATTTCTTCTTCTGGCTGTCTTCATCCATTGCTCTGTTATCATGCATTGTGCTCAGGAGGATAACAGCCTTTGGCTTCTTCTGCACATGGTCATGTTGCCATTGAATCTGAATTCTTAGCTATGAATCACCCTTGACTTGGATGGCTTTATGATAGGTGGTATGTCTGGCTTGTTCTGGCGAAGGCCCACAATAGTCAGGTTCTTCTCGAGGAGCTTCTCAGCCAGAGGGACACTGGTGAAGAAGTTGTCCATTGTGAAATTCAAAGCTTCTTACTGAATGCCACAGTGAATGCATGTGTGTGAAGTTCATGTAGGTATACAAATGTTGAGCTTGTTCATAGAGTAAGAAAGGGAACATAAAAAATATTATTTGTGATGAATAAAAACATGTTATTTACTGTATACATGGAGTACTAAATGAAAAAATATATATATTACAAAGGTGTAGCAAAGCAACACTCAGCCGTACATGAAATTACATAGAAAATGGATGCGGGTCATTTTTGACCCATGTTGTGCATTAGAGGGGTAGTGATACAAAAATCATTTTTATTCAAAAAGTAAGAAAACAAATAATAAAATGAGGATGTTTAAAGATCAAAAACAAGCTAATTGAGGAATACCTGGAATACTAAAAGATGAAATTAATCCATTGCAAAGATAAAGAACATAAAAACTCAGTCGGGTCACTTTTGACCCATGTTGTGCATCAAAGGGTTAAATGGTATTTCGTTTTAGTTTTTTACTTCCTGTCCATTTGCTTCCCCTATGTCTTTATGTACTGTAGCTGGGCTCATCCTCGTTGGTTGGTGGTCCGTTGTCTTTGTCTGCCTCTTTTCCAGGTTCCGTTTGGATTTTGTAATTGGTTTTTAACTTTTATTTATTGGTTCATTAAATCCTAATATTTTGGTCCTCTTTTGTTTTTACCATGTGACAGTAACACACCATGTGATAGTACTACCTAATTACTACACCAACATATAGTAATTAGCTATTGTAGAGGCTAATTTGCAACACCATTCTACTCGATCAGAGATACACTTAAAGACCAGTCCACACCAGTCCACACCAGTCCAAGACCAGCACCTTGGAGAAAAGGTTAACTGCCATAGAATGAAATAAACTATGTATGAAGACCATATGTATGTTCATGAGCCTGGTATATACACTAAACACTATACCAAAACTGAAAGCAGACAAATCAACTGCTCTTGTGTTTGAGTAAGTATTATTTATTCATTTAGCTCCTTTCACAGACCAGAGACACAAAGCACTTTAAAATTGTTGTTAGCATTTGTCTCTTACTCCACACAGATGGGAGCAGGATTGCCATACAGGAGGCGCAGACCTATTGTACATGTTTTTAGTGGTAAGGTGAAACCGGAGCGCCCAGAGGAAACCTACGCAGACACGGGGCGATCATATAAACTCCACACAGAAAGGCCTAGTGGTGGATTCGAACCCACGGTGAGGTACAAGCGCTAACCACCATCCAGCCAAACACTAAAAAAAATACTCTCCAGTAGACTATCTGCATGTATAGAAGCAGCTATAGATCATGTAGAAATACCATAAACCAGCTTTACACACACACATACAGTACTTGTAAACAGATTTGAAAAAACCCTGAGTTTATTATAAGGACTTACCAGGACTTTTGATCAGTTTTAGAGTTGGAACCGCCGTTTCTCTATTCCCGTTCTTTGATAGTTCCAATATCCCCCCATTCGCCGGCATAACATCCAAGCTTCTAAGGCCATTTCTCTGCGTAGAATCAAGACTCAATGTCCTCACAAGCGGTTGCAACTTCTTCTCCTCAACTCCCACAGAATTTTCCAAAACATTTCCGTAACAACTCGAAGGTCTTTGAGGTCTTTTCGGAACGTACGCTTTCTCCGATTCCGGTTTCGCTGGAGGAGGAAGGATTGCCGGTGTAGGCGTCACCACAAGACTCAATGTAGATCTATGTATTGGTTTTGTATCTATGGGTGTTGAATCTGTCATTGCATGATTTGGTTGCGACGAGAAGCGGTTTTCATTGTACAATCCTTCAGTGTAACTATGCCTGTATTGCGTATTCCTCGGCGTATTGCTTGGGCCGAAGCTCTCCCTGTGCTCTGTCACTTTGATAATCGTCGCCTTCCTTCTCCGCACCACCGTGTCCACATTTTGACTCGCTTCCTGGTTTTGGCCGACGTTGCGAATCGTCCCTGTCGTCACTCTCTGCTCCGTCACTTTAACAATCGTGGCTTTTCTCTGCACCATGATTTGCCGCGGGTTAGAGTCCATAGATTCTGTGCTTGGCCGTGAAGGAGACGGCGGAAGACTGGAAGACCTGCAAACCTTTCGAGAAGCGATAGTAATGGAGGAAAACCCGGCTTTATTTTCTGGAATCAAGGTCTTGGTTTTAGCAGTTGTCTGAATATGGGACGCCTTGATTGGTTGAGCACGGGAAGTTCTATATAATGGCGTTTTATATGGCACAATTTCTCGATCCTGGTCCGGTAAAGTCTTTCTATGAACCAATTCTTGTTTATCTTGGTGTATGTCACAGGGTTGGGTGAATGTCTTGGACGCCGGAGGGTCTACACTGGTCTCGGTTGAGGTCTTACTATTCGGACTTGATCCCGGGAGAGCTAAAACCCGGTTGAGTCTCCAGCCTCGCTTCAGGGACTGCCAGCTCACCGGCCCATCGCCACCGGTGACAGCAGGGAAATGCCTCTCTGGCCCCTGTGGAGAAAGAGACAGTGTCAGGTGATATGGATCTAAATTATGCAAATGGTTTGAAAGTCATGAAGTCGTGAAGCCTTGTTTCAGTTGAATTCAATTAGCATCACAAATATAGCCTATTGTCATTATTGTAGGCTTTTCTTCTTCTTCCAGTCTACTGCAGTTGGCAACAATGTGGTTAAAGTATGAAGGCAACTATTTCTGCTTAAATTCTCTATAATTGACTTCTCTATAATTGACTTCCTCCTCCGTCGAGCAAAGACGTGTCTCAGACGCTCCTGCTTCTGAACGGCTTGCTATCTCCTGTTTTTGTCTTTTTTCCTGGAGTTTTGCCACAGACAACTTTAACAGAATGGAAATGATTAACTGGTCCCTCAACGCAATTGATTCTATCTTTTCAACACGTAAGCGTGGGTCTGGAGAGCCCGTGTGCCCGGACGGGACTTCACCTGCGGGGTATACTCTTGACAGCTGGAACAAGTTTCAGCCCCTCTGTCTGTCGACCCTGTCCATTGAAGATTCGGAAGACGTATATATCTTTGGCATTTTGGTGGTGGGAATCCTCCTGTTTGGGTTTGGAGCGATCCTGTTCTACCACATATTCGGTGGCATGGCAGTTCGCAAGATTCACGACCTGCTGGCCGACAAAATTGATGGGATGTACAAGGAGCTAAGCCGTGTCGTGGTTGAGAGTGCCGTGTCTGGACAACGGAGAGTGGTTTTGGTGGAACAGTTGATCAAAGATTTCGCAGCTCGTTCACTCGATGGGCATAAAACTCTGGAATTGAGATTGAATGACATTGTTTGTCAGGCTTGAACTCTCTGACCCGGCTTGGATTTGCCCCTGTGTACGGAGGTCTGAGGGCGCCGTAATTCGGTTTAATTGGAATTAATAGAATATCTGCCTGCTTTTGATGCTACATTGCATATAATATTGTCCCTCTCAGGCGATTTGTGTTTCTCCTGCTGTGTCTTCTCCCCACTCTTATCTCACATTCCTTGACCAAGGCCATAAACAAGGTCCCACAATCTACAACAACTCACACTATTTCAGTCTCCAGCAAGGATCACTCACCCCCGCCTCCCTCTACCTATCCATCTTGCTCCCTCCCTCCCCTCCATTCCTTATTGTTTTCCTACTCACCCCCTCCCTGATCCCGCCCCCCTCTGACAGCTACATTGGGCCGGCCGCCGGAGGTGCTCATCCCGAGAAAAAAATCCGTGGTTTATAAAAAGCACAATGTGTCTATCCAATTGTATGTGAACTGTATGTTATTGCTCTCTGCTGTTTCTTGCTGCACACAGCGCCGCAAATGGCGAAGTGGCACGCTCTCTGCCAAGACAATTTCCAAGTGATAACTTTGTTACTCACGTGGCAATAAAAAAAAAATGATTCTGAAATAGATATAGCCTAAAATGGGAGATGAACAAAAAAGTCTTCTTAAAGCTAAGGCACCTTTTTAGTTTGATAAATAACACATGTTGTTTGTACCGATAGAGAGAGTCTTGTAAAAAAAAAACAAAAAAAAAATAAATGTTGTGGACAAATCCAACCACAGTATCCTGCCTTCATCTTTTTAGAAATGTGTTATTTTTCGCACAAGAATGAGCCATTTTAGTCACTTTTTGACGCTTTGGGCTGAGAGCTGATTGGCCTTGCTGATTAAGTACAGTGATGATCCGGGGCATTTAGGGACCTTTATGGACATTTTTAAACATTTATGGACAGTGGTCATCCCCTCCCTATGAACCAATGGCTCCTATGTGTTTATGATTGCCTTTCCTGTCTTCAAACTGTTTAACACTCTAGTCTGTTATTGACAACTTTACAAAGCACCTTCGAGACAACTGCAGTTGTGATTTAGAGATGAATAAAAATAAATTGATTCTTCCTGGTAAAGAATTCCAACAATCTCCTGCTCAGTACAAACAATCAGAGCATATTGCACAACACAAAACTGAGCCAAAACGTCAATAGGAAACAGACAAATATGAATAATTGTCTCCACATCGTCCACAATTAATTAGTGTGATTAAATCCGAAGGAGGACGGTCATCAACAATGCCAATTTATTGTGCGACTTCTATTAAACCCAGAGACTGTACATGTTATTAATGTGATTACTTTACTGAAGCTGAAAGGGCTCATTCTTCAAATCCAATAGACATCAGAATGTTTTTTTTGCTCTACTGGGATAAAGGATGAATTACGAAAGAGTGCGCCATTAAATAGAGAAAAAATAGGTTATCTAAAGAAATAGGAGAGTTTGTGGAAGAAAGAGAGATTGTGGTAAAGGGTTAAATCCAGGTTAAAAACAGTTTAGCTTTGTAGACAACAGAGGGATTGTATCTTCACTCAGAATACACTGAGATTATCTATGATTTAAATGCCTTGGGTGTTTTCTATCTTGTTTTTTAAGGCACTTTGAGTTGCCTTATGTACGAACTGTGCTTTACAAAAAATACTTGCCTTGTTAGGATCTGACACTGCATGTGACCCCCTGCACTCAATAAGTTTCTGCGCGCAATACTTTTTTTTATATAGAAGTTGTGTAATTGTGTGTAGTCTGTATGGTGTTGGCTCATATAGTGTCCCTTTTATTGTGAGTGAATTAAATTGTCGACAAGAAAACGGTACAGGTGAGAGTGGGAGCAACCGCTTCACCAGAGACAAAACGACTACGGAAGAAGAACTGAGATACAATTTGTAATCGACAACTTTGTTAAGTCCAAGACACAAGATAGCCACTGTTGTGATCTACATTCTAAACAAAAATACATTGAATTGATTTGTTCAGCTAGGTTGAGATTACTTCAGTTGGACCCAAATCTTATACTTTATTATTTGTTCCACATGTTTTCCTTGGCTCATGTTTGGTCCATTTCATTGGAGGAAGCGTCTGGGGAGTTGGAGGTCTGGGACTCCCTGCTCAGATTGTAGATGCCCCTGTGAGCTGGCCTTGATTACGCAAAATATATCTGATTGAGGATGACGAATAATACATTTCTTTTCTGGGTTGAATATCCTTAACCCACTTCTTACCCACATAATGCATCACTATTTATAGAACGGACCAATCTCCCAGTGCAAAACAATTCACAGTTTCTTCTTGAACTCACACAAATAACAAATCCGTCCGCTGTTTTTGCCTGGGGGCCGCGGTGTTAGCTGGATGACGTGTTTCTCCACGACAGCAGTTCCTAAGAGCAGTTCTCCTATGAGGGGCTGTGGGGCTGTTTGTTTTCAGTCCGATGACACTCCCAAGAAGCAGGACTGTGCCTCTGCCGGCCCCCAGCACTGCAGGCGGGACTTTGCATGTGACTGATGCAGGCTCAGCTTCACGGAAACGCACAGGGGAAAAGCATGAGCCAGAAGATGAAGAAGTTCTGATTGTGCTGTGTTTAACATGTGCGATAAGACCTGGCTGTGGAGTAATGAGGCGCGAAATAGCCGTAAAATAAAAGTAGGAATCAAAGCGGGGATTTGTAGATGTTGTTTGATCAATTTGTCCTGTGATGTAGGAACAAAAAAATAAGTATGGATACAACTGACAGTGACTGTGAAAAGAAAGAGTTTCGGAGTCGTCTGTACAAAAGTAATTCTCAATTGTTTTGAAATACACCAAACTTCTTGAATCAGTACAGGTCTCACATTAGTTCTGCCATATAAACAAGCATACAGTATGTATATGTAATGTGTACCTCACATACACATATATTTCTACACACATACATATATATATACATATACATACATATGTTATAATATTATAATGATGAACATAATAGTTTTTATTGTTATAGTTATTATAACGCTCTTTTCCTTTTATTCTCATTCTTATTCCTTCTTATTCTAGTTTGCAAAATCAAAACATATGCGTCTTGTACTCTGTAACCTACCTAAATACAATCATGTGTAACTTTATTGTAGTTTTTAAATGGATGCACAGTGTATAGGGCTCATCAAGTGTCACCAAGATCTGACTTTTTTGCTTTGAAAAACACAGAGAGCGTAAACTGTTGTAATGAAAACATGACTAAACCATTTAACTCTTGTTCTGGTTAAACAAGAGTTAAAAAATAAGTCCTGACACCAATGTCAGGACTTATTTTTTTGATGACACAGACAGCTTTGTTGACATGAAGACTTGCTTTTCATATTGAGAGAGTGACGCACTTTTGCAGGTTATGCACAAGGTTTTGAAGTTTGTACTTATTGTTGTGATATATGCACAAACCGTTGTGAAGAGTGATTCAAGAAAAGCACCAAAGCGACTGAGAAAAACAGTTAATTTGCCAACAACAGATCAGAGAAACTGTTAAAACACAAGAAATGCAATGATAAAAAACACAAAGAGCCATTGGTCCATAAGGGGCAGATGTCCATAAATGTTAATAAATGTCCATTGATGTTGGTGAACACAAACTAGCACAGGCCAAGACGAGCTATAGGCACAGGGAGAAGAAGCAAACAAAATAATCCATTACAACCCATACAATGTTGGATCTTCAAATTCTAGAAAGTCCAAACCAGCGAGCCACACAAGGCATCCATAAACTCAATATTAGACAGGTAGGTAGATAGATAGCAGATGGACAGATAAATAGACACATTGACAGACAGACAGATAGATAGATAGATAGATAGATAGATGGATAAATCTTTCACCTGTTTGTTGATTGCAGGGTCCTGGTTCTTCCACGCAGTCCTCAGTCCACCGTTGGCTTTACCCTGACTCCGCTGCTCCTCCCCTTCTGTGTTTGAACACAAAACAAAAGCATTTCTTTAAACCAAACACTGTTGTCGTTCCCTGTTAGGTAAGTATTGGCTCTTTCCGGTCCATTTGTTGTGTTGACAGAGCAAATATACAAAGAAAAAAATCTGTTGCGGTCAAATGTAATGACATGGCCTCAAAGCAATCAGAAATATAATGTACGTTTAGATGCAGCAGTTGTGCATATTTTACTTTAGAACAACTTTATTGTTGCATTTATTCTCTGATTTGTTATTGGCAAATCGACAACTTCGTGGAGACTGCTGTTGCGACTAAAGTAAGTGAATTGAGTTTATAATCTGATATTTTGTTCTTCTTTTTCTTTATTTATGTAATTATTTAACATAAAGTGGTCTATGACCTGACTCATGACATATGGCAATGACAACTCAAAACATAAAGACGCTCCAACTACAACTAAAAAATGTCCACCGCATCCAACAATAATCGTACAGGCATCAATCAATAAGAAAAAAGGCAAAACAAAAGTGAAGGACAAGATTAAGATTAAGAGATTCTTTATACGTCCCACAGTGGGGAAATGTCAGTGTTGCATCACAAGTTACAGAACAGTAGGAATGAGGCACACACAGCACAAGATAAATTAACAATAACTATATACTAAATAAAATAAAATACCTCAAAATCTAGCATGATGAAGAAACAAGTATAAAATCTCTATTTCTAGCATAATGACTACAAAAAAATCTGACTTTAGCATAATAAAGAAGTATAAAATCTCTACCTTTGGCATTATAAGAAGCAAGTATATAAAGTACTGTGTAAAGAAGATCCAAAACAGAAAATTATAATCGAATTGCCGCTAAGGCACAATACTGTATCTCTACTTCTACCCAGTGTATTATACGACCTTGCTTCTCATTGGACGCTCAAGCCACCAGTGTCTATATGCAGAGGAACTTTGAAATCCCCACCCACCTCATTTCTTCTTTGTCCTCTTAAGTGTTATCTAAATAATGTGAACGGACTGAGAATTGGCCTGGCCTGTCCAAACACACAGAACCAATTCTATTTCCAATCATTCATTAACATTAGTCCACTGTGTGTTTGGCAAATGTGACTTTTATAGAGAGACAGAGGGAGCCGCTCCGGTCTGATTAAACGGACTGTGGATTGGCCTGCCAGCGCTGACCGATGGGGAAAGATTGATAATTTAAACCTTGAGGTGGTTAAGTGTTGTTCAAATGATGTATTTACTTAGAGAGAGAGACCACCATGTTGTAGATGTTGAAAATATTTATGATAAGTAATTAATTCAATGATATTTTGTAATGCATTGTACAAAGACGGACGCATATAACAGTATCTTTGGTGTTATATGATTTTCTCCCATCCCTTTCCAAGACCTAAATGCAATAATAACACACACCCCTTAGAGATTTTAGAGCGATATGCAAGATTTTATACTTACTTCTTTATTAAGTTAGATATTTTTTACTTAATTCTTGATTCTTTATTATCTTACATTTGCTTCCTTATTATGTTCAAGCTGGACATTTTATACTTGCTTCTTTTTATGCTAAAGTTTATGGAGTTTTTTTTTGTATTGTTCATTTATCTTGTGCAGTGTGCTCCTCATTCCCACTGCTCTGTAACTTATGATGCAACACTGCGATGAACCGCGGAGCTAAGCGTTTTGTTTCCGGAGCCAAAACATGGACGTGCATCAAATGGAACCGTGCCAAAAGAGACAAGTGCTGAAACTGAGGGAAAGTCGAGCTGGTTTTCTTCAAAAGGACATTCGTTAAAATAACTCTTCAACCCCTCCCTGGTACTTGTGAAGAGTACATTTGAGGAATAGACACAGGTCACCTATGTTGGTCCAGGCAGTCCCTGTGCTCCTCAGAAGCCGAGTTGGTTCATATGGCACTAACATGTCACAGATGTACAGTACTTAAGGTAGCAATATGTAAGATTTTTATGTCAATTCATCCTTAACTGCCCCTAATATGTCTAAAGGCATTAATAAACCATGCTCTTTGCAAATATTTCTTTAACTGGCAACTGTAGTTCAGCCGAGATATTTGGATTAGTTTTACAGCCCCTGAATCTTATTCTTTTCATTTCGATGTCCCGCCTCTGTCTCACCAATCCAAAAGGCTGTGATCCGGGTTGCCCAAACTCACCGCGTGGAGCTCATCTCACTGGTAAAGTAACATAAAGCAGCAGAACTAAAAAAGTGTTGTTATAATTCTCAAATTATTAATGACAAAACTAGAAATAAAACAAGGATTTCTATTGAGGCCTTTGTGAAAAAGGTGTTGGGTATAGATTTGTCAGATATTATGGTCCTCTGGATTCGTCTGCATATTTGGCAACCCGAGTTAGGGAGAGTGTGAGAGGTTGCAGTACCACTTTTGGCCAGATTTTGCATACTGCTTCTTTAAGTGCCAGACCATGAATAGACCTGGACACACATTTTCCTAATTTGACTGCTCTTACATGTAATCTGTATTTGTGTGTGAGAGATCTCTCAGACAGCCTGCTCTGGTCATCAGTATATAACACATCTCATATCTAAAGCTGCATGCTCCCCTATGGATGTCCAGGCCCCTGCAGAGACCCTATGGCAATTTCTCCACACACGCTGTTCGACTAATGTACTCTTTCTTATATGAACGCTTTTAAGGGCTGGAGATGTTTATAACCAGCACTCAAGGCTCGCTCTAAGAAAGATTTAACTACGAGAGGTCCATCATGTACGCGGCTTGACACCTACCAGGGCTCTTTGCAGATGATGAGGTGGTATTCATTACTGTGGGCGTGATGGGTGGTTTCAACTTCACCTGCAAAATAGACATAATGTGAATGAGTGTCAGCAGCTATGGCAACTAACAATGAAGAATGTTGTCATATCTGTACATTAAAGTACAATTGTAGAGGCTGCTGAATCACTAATGCATTCCAGTTTGTATCATAATACAAAGACACAAACAAAACACTGCTGATTTAGTACAGATCAGTCTGGTCAAAGCCTGAATCCCATGATTTCAATTCAAATCGCAGTACTATGAATTATCATGGGATTTCCTTAGTGCTGGAATATTCAAAATCAACTAAAAATCAACTAAAAGTCCACCTAGGTTACATAAGAAAAGGAAATATGTGTAAGATTCACATGAAATTCAAATGTTTAGAGTTCGAAGACTAACTAACTAACTATACGGAAACTACTTCTAAAACTTACTTTGGGACAGGCTTCTACTTTGACAATGTTCAGTTTAAAAACAGTTCTGTTTAGCTGTACATTCAGTTGTGTCTTCACTCTTTTTATTGTACTGTCATTAGTTATTATTTAAATCCCTTGTTTAATTATTTATTATACAATGTTCTTGTTATTATTCTTGTTTCATTTAGCACTTTGAGTTGCCTCATGTATGAACTGTACTGTACAAATAAACTTCTCTTGCCTTGTCTTGCCTGGTTGTTTTCATCCTCACTTTGAGATTTTGGTCAATTCTCGCATTATTTTTTCTTTCATTAGTTTTATCTACAAAATTCCTTTAGGAAAAATGCATTGGTTTTGCTGTTTACTTCCGAAACCTGAAGGTTGAGGTTTTTAAACATCCATCCATCCATCTTCTTCCCCTTAATCCATTTCTGGGTGGCCGTCAGAGCTGCACCCAGTACACCAGCACCAGCCCCTCACTGATCCTCCTGCAGGTGGTGAGGCCACAAGAGCCTTGATCTTTCAGTGGGGGTTTCAGGCAAAGTGGGGTTAAGTGTCTTGCCCAAGGACACGACAACAGCAGGGATCAATGGGAGTCCTGAAGTAGGTCTTGTGGTGGGCTTGAACCCGCGACCTTCAGGACCAAAGGCCAATGCTCTACCAACTGAGCCACTGGTTTATAAACATGTAAGAAGTTAAGACGTACTTTATTTTGCTCTTTTTCCTCTAGATTTGATCCATTCTTGGGCCTCTCTCACTACAGTATAGCCCCCAGGAACCTATCTCCAGATGTTGATGGTCAGCTTGGTCAGGACTAGTGGAGCTAGAGGATTTTCTATATGATGTGTGTTTTGTGTGGTGGGGATACCCGGAGCATCTGGAGGAAATCCACCCAGACACAGGGAAACGGCACACAAAAATGCCTGGATTGGGATTGAACTCATGACCTTCTTGCTGTGAAGCCTTTTGCAGAGAGTGCTCCCCAGCCAATGTTAAATTTGTTGCTTTGTGGTTTTTTGCTCATGGCTCCTATATTGAAAAGACAGCAGCTATATCCAGTTCTTGCTTCTTGACCTGGATCAATATCTATAATGCCCATTTTTGCAGGAGCCGCCTTCTCAGCTGGTAGCACTCCTAATAGACTTTTAACATCTTACAGTTTTTGAATATTGACGTGCATATATAGACTGTCCTAGATCATTATGGTATAAAGTGAGTGGCAGTTTATGTCCAGAGGGGGAACAGAAGGATTGATATGTTGCAGATGAAGCAGTTCTTTTGCTGAGTAACTTGAGGGGACAGTAAAAATTTCTTTGCGGCGCTGTCTGTGTGCATTTGAAGACACCACGCTCCATCACCCTCACTTCACACCGTACCGTGGAGGGATCGGGGCTTTCCTCTGTTTTTGTTGGATCAAAGCAGAGGTGTCACTCAGTTTCAGGGCTTTATTATGAGGTTTGCACTTTTACTGATGAAACTGGAAGGAACAGGGGACTTTTCATAATATGACTAAACTTGCCAATTGCAATTAGAAATAAGCAATATTTGTCATTCATCATATTTATGTCAGTAAGGCTCATTTCTGTGGGCCAATAATCTAAGCATCAAAATGTAACTGTTGGGTTATGGGTGGATGTGTTTCTGGTTGTTGAACACAATTTATCTATCAATCTATATATCTATCTATCTATCTATCTACTGCATTTATCTCTATATCTATCTCTATCAATCAATCAATCTATCCTTTCGGTTCCAATTTGTCTTAAAATGGGATGACTTTATTTTTTTACTGTTTGATTCTTTTCTATAACTACAGTTGTGATATAGGGCCATACAAGAATAAATTGAATTGAATTAATTGAGCTTTATCATGCAACATTATTGACAGGATTCGAACCTGCGAGAGACCCAAATGGAATCCCAGTCTGTCATCCCACCCTTACCGCTCTAAAAACTTGACTCTACAACCTGCAGATAGTTTTACAGTATTTTACCTGCTGTGTTGAAGGGTGAGAACCACGGCCCTGCTCCCCCACCATGGTCACCTTCTTCCTGATTGGCAGCCAACCGATTTTCACCGGCGTCAGAAAACTCACTCTGCTTTGCTCCTTCTTTGGCGGTTGGCTTATCCTCGCCTTCTCCCAGCTCTCTCTTCTCTCTGGAGGAGACGGGGCGCTGTTTTGCAAAGACTCCTGACTCCCTAAAGAACTCCCACACAGGCTAGTCCCACCTGAGGATGACCCCCAACTAGACGGGACACTCCCCTTGGCTCTTGCTGCTTTGTCTTGTAATCCAAATTGTCCAACATGCACTTGAATCTGGGTTTTCTGTATCCTCTGCAAATGTTTGAGCCATCCGTCAAGCTGCCCACCTTCTACGGCACTTTGGGGACGTGATCCGCGGTCGGGACTGGGGGTAGAAGCGCCCAGAGGGAAGTTGTCCCAGTAGGACTCGTCTGTGGATCTCCTCCAGGTCTTGCGGAGGGTGGCAGGTGGTCCGCGGAGAGACATGGCGATCGGGTAACAGGTGGGGTTGAGTTTCAGAATAATGTAAGAGGCTTTTTACGATGAGGTATTCATGAGAAGATCTTGGATTAAAGCAGATGTTATACCATGGGATTTCCTCGTCCCATCTGCAAGAAAAAACATTGAAAATTAGCTGGAAGTGTTTGGTATGATTGGATTTTGGCATGAGCAGACAAAGAACTCATCTTTTGAACAGAAGCTAATCTAACTAATCTGTAACTTGACCTGCATGGTCGCCATGACTACATTTGATGCCCAATTATTCCCCAGACAAGATATGGAAACAAAAATGTGGCATGCTCTCAACATTTTCACTACAGTTACTGCTACTACAAGTCACTAATAACTTTCACAATCTAAATAAAAATGCATTTTTAGATACATACTTGTGTAAATATACAACACATGGTGAAACTAGGGAAAAGATTGTTGATTTTATATTTGGGTTTATAAGTTTGCATGTGTAAGTATATACAGAAAGCACAGAAGGCAACATGTACAAAATATCATCTAAACTAGGGAATGTAAAAATTGTAAACTTTCTGCTTAAATGAATAAATAAATAAATCAATTATAGGGTACTTGAACAATGTGTCTCTGTCTGAGCTTATTGTTGAATTGTTTTTTTGTTGATGGTTGAAAGTTCAGGGTCCCAGCTTTAATTCAGTTCAATTTATGTTTGTTAAGCCCCAAATCACAACAGCAATTTGTCATTCCGCCAACCACAGATGAAAGACTAAAAAAGCTCTAAAAGAAAAAACAATAATAACAAACATATACAGTAGAAGCCATTGCTCATCATCACTGTTCTTAGACCCAAGGAACAACTCATTCTTGAGGAGGCCCTCATTGAGAGAGGGAGAGACAGGCTATAGATCCAGTATCACCATCGTAAAGGTCCCCATTTCTCGTCGTTCTGAAACCCATGGATCAACAAAATTCCTTTTAATTCCCTGTGAATCTTTAATTGATAACTTCAGCAACAATAATATCTCATGAACTTTAGAATTTGCATCTTCATCTACAACTCGCTGTCACTATTTGAAGTAAACAAATGACCCTCCCCTATACAGACTATCCTATCTTTCTATTGGTTTCAAACTCAGACTATGAATGATTGATGATGGCATTTTTATAGCAAAATCAATCCACAACACATAACATGCAATCGTTTTTCCCCCAATGAAAAGCAATAGATAAGTCATCATAAATCATTTTTTTTCATCAATTGTGCCACAATTTACAATTTTGAAAAGGAGTGAAGCTACATGTGGATATTTAACACAAAAAAAGTTACTTTCAACTGGATACTTCTCAAAATGAAAAAAGGTCTCAACACATTCAACACATTTTCATTATAGCCTTATAACGTAAATGCAATGAGTTTGCTAATTTTTTCAATGACAAGGTTCAAGGCATCAAAAACGCCATTGTCTCCAATCCACAGATAACCATCCAACAGCCAGAAAGGCTCTCTGAGCTAACTCACTTTGCACCTGTAAATGATAAAATTGTCCAAGAGATAATCTCCAGTTTGAGCTCCTCCACATGCAGCTTGGATGTACTACCCACTAGATTTCTGAAGTCTGTTCTGAGGTCTGTTACCTTCACTCACACAGATAGTAAACATGTCCCTTCATTCTGGAATATTCCCAAAGGCCCTGAAAACTGCAGTCATCAGGCCCCTGCTAAAAAAGAGCAGTCTCGATGCTACGGTACTTAACAACTATCGTCCCATCTCAAATCTGCCATTTATGGGGAAAGTCCTTGAGAAAGTTGTCTACCTACAGCTTACTAGATTTCTTATAATCAACAACTCATTTGATATGTTTCAGTCCGGCTTTAGACCCCACCACAGCACTGAGACTGCTCTCGTTAAGGTTACAAACGATATCCGGCTGAACACTGACGCAGGCAAAGTCTCAATCTTAATCTTGTTAGATCTAAGTGCTGCCTTTGATACCGTCGACCATGAGATCCTCTTACAGAGACTAGAGGACTGGGTTGGCGTCACTGGCACCGCCCTAAGTTGGTTTAGGTCTTACCTTGAAGACAGGAAGTACTTTGTGGAGATTGGAAACTGTGTCTCAGATCATATGGCCCTGACCTGTGGAGTCCCACAGGGGTCGATCCTGGGACCTCTTCTGTTCAATCTCTACATGCTGCCGTTAGGTCAGTTAATACGCAGAAACAAAATTTCCTATCATAACTATGCAGACGACACTCAGATCTATGTCTCACTGACTGCAGGAGAACATGGACCAGTGGACTCACTCCTTCACTGTATCCAACAGCTCAGTGAGTGGATGCAAAACAACTTCCTTCAGCTAAACGCAGACAAAACTGAAATGATTGTCTTTGGTCCCCAGAAACAAAGAGAGAGCGTCATCTGTCACCTACAGTCTCTCTCCCTAAAACCTTCAAACAAGGTCAGAAATCTAGGGGTAGTACTGGACTCAGACTTAAATTTTAATAGCCACATCAAATCAGTAACATCAGCAGCTTTTTACCATCTAAAAAACATTGCCAGGATCAAAAACATAGTGTCTAAAGCAGACTTGGAGATTCTTATCCATGCATTTGTCTCCAGTAGGTTAGACTACTGCAATGGCCTGCTCACAGGTCTGTCCAAACAGGCTGTAAAACAGCTGCAGTACATTCAAAACGCAGCAGCTCGAGTCCTGAATAGAACCAGGAAGTACGACCACATTAGTCCAGTTCTCAGGTCTCTGCACTGGCTTCCTGTGGCTCAGAGAATAGACTTTAAAACAGCTCTGCTTGTGTACAAGTCTCTCCATAGCCTCGCACCAAAATATATTAGTGACATGTTAGTCCCATATGAACCAGCCCGGACTCTGAGGAGCACAGGGACTGGACTCCTGTTAGTGCCCAGAGTCAGAACTAAACATGGGGAGGCTGCTTTTCAGATTCATGCTGCTAAAATCTGGAACAATCTTCCTGAAGATGTGAGACAGGCCTCCTCTCTGACAATGTTTAAAACCAGGTTAAAGACAGTTCTGTTTAACTGTGCATACAACTGAGGGATTTATATTTTTATCTTTCTTTTTAATGTTCTGTGATAATTTATGATTTTAATGCTTTCTTGTTTTGTTCAGCACTTTGAATTGCCTTGTGTATGAATTGTGCTATATAAATAAACTTGCCTTGCCTTGCCTTGCCTATACATCAGAGAAGTTTATGCTGAAAATTACAATTACTAATCACATTAATTCTCCAGGATTTGATAATTGATTGCTAATAATGATTTTGTAATTACATTCCACATAATGTAATTACTGTACAATTCAAACAACTTGTAAATATCTTTATTAGAGTAATCTTCCCCTCTGATTGTTTTACAGCTCAAAATTGTTTTACGTTGCAAAAGCATTAACTCGAATACATAGTCTTTTATTTTGAAAATCCATAACAAGTAAATATGCTACTCACAAACTCTGCTCATAGCCTTCCCCAGTTCTCCTCTGGTCACTTTGTCCAGACACAATCGTGGGCACGGCTGGTACTGTCTCCGCTGAATTCTTGTGAGAAGTGCTTTGTCTCAGGCTGGAGTTAGTCAGCTGCATGAACCCAGAGACGAGAGGAGGAACAGGGGAAGGCTAACAGAGGAGGGCCCTGGGCATGGGACACACTCACTCACTTATGCTATTCTTACAACCATTTAACTGTGTAATGACCAATTAAAGACATGGGACATTAAGATTAAAAAAAATACCAGTCTTGAGAAGAAATCCATATGGGGGAATCAAACTTTCAACTAACAGAAATATGTAACTATAAAAAACAAAACATCAAACTACAGTTTCTTGATCTCAAAACAGTTTGCTCCTATCACTAGTTTTCACATGCACGTGTTTTTGGCTTTTGTCATCAATTTTTTAAGAAAAAAAAGTGAAAAAGAGAGTCTGTCCGTCTGCAGAAATGAATCCCTCTCTCTTATTAATGGGTCTTCCCGAGGCTTCTCCCTTTTTTTTTTACAAATGGTTTCATTTCTTGCAGATGCAGGAGGGTCAAAGGACAGTGATGATCGGGACATTTATGGACATTTTATCCACAGAGCCCTGGACCGATGGCTCTTATATGTTTGTTATTATTGCAATTCTGGGAAACTGGACAGTATGATTCTCCAGGGCGACAGCTGTTTTCATGCAGGGCTATACAAAAATGTATTTATTTTGAAAAAGAAAGGACTTCCACTTAGTCAAATAATGGCTCACTCACTCTTTCTCACTGTGTACAAAATATAAAAAACATTCTAATAAGATGAAGCAAGTTGTGGGCTGATTTGCTAAAATGTTGGACCAAATAATTAATCAGGTACCCCAGCTTTGAGATTAGGCAAGTGTGTATTTGATATTGGTTAGAGTAGATTATCAATCATCTATTTCAAACACACATGTATAGTCTACTTTATCTTTATATTATCTTCTATATTGTTCTGCAAATATTTAAAATCTAATCATATACAGTGTTTATAATCCAAGAATTCACTAAATGCAATGTCATTCTCATTTATCCCCTGAGCCCTATCCTGGGAACCATGCCCTAAAACACAGCACCAGTATGGCCTCCTGTAGTGTACGTCCCGGGCCCACAGTTTGCGACCCCTTGACTCCGAAGCATCACTAACGAGCAGATTATGACCGCCGGTGTCAGAAAAGCTCTCTGCTGGTGTCTGTTATCCTCCTTGTGATCTGTGAGTTCATGTTTTTGAGCCGCTCCTCTCCTCATGTGACTGCAGCGAGACCAGGCTTCAAACGCCGCACTGTCTGTTAGATAAGGCTCTGTCATCACATGCTCCGGAGCCGAGACACACGTACCAGAGAAAAGCACCTTATTATCAGTTCATAATCGGGTTAAAAGCAGCAATAAAAGCAATAAACACTATAATGTAATATTGATGGAAAATATTTTATTTTCAAGATAGAGATTGTATACTTTTATTGATGCTTGAGTTAGAGATTTTGTTTTATTTTTATTAGAATAGTTATTGTTCACTTGTGCCGTGTGCTCCTCTTTCCTACTGTTCTATAATTTGTGATGCAAAACTGAAATTTCCCCACTGTGGGACAAATAAAGGATCTCTTAATCTTAATCTAAAATATATGTTATCCATGCACAGTGGGTTTAGCTCAGGGGTGTGAGACCTGTCAGGGCTGATTTCATTTATTCTAAAACTGCTCTTACTGTTCTGAGCTTTAAAACGGGATATGATACGTCCTTATCATAAGTTGGCTGGATGACATTAAGAAAGTTCTTCAAGGATTTGTTTTACCGAGGCAAAGGGCCAATGTTAGCTGCTAAGCGAGTAGAAATGGCTACAATTACATTTTACATGGACACATGAATGGAGCAGTCAAAATGAGGCAAAAGTATATACTCACTCAAAGGTGAAGGATAATTTCATCAAAATAATAACATGAAAATACACTACATACAAAGACAGAAAAAGTCACAATTAAAACATAGTATATTGGGTTAGAGTGAAGTTACAATGCTTCAGTTGTATGCACAGCTAAACAAAAATGTTTTTAACCTGTAACATTGTCAGACAAAAAACCTGCCTCACATTTTCAGGAAGACCTGGAACAGCATAAATCTGAAACGCTGCCTCGCATGTTTAGTCTTGACGCTGGGTATTGGCAGGAGGCCAGTCACTTCAGAGTCCTCAGAGTCAGAGTTGTACTATTTTATGGTCATGTAGAGAAATGGCCCCATCTACAGACAGGAGTGTTGACTCACTGACATATCACCAACACTGAAATATACATAATATGATAATGAACCTTTAAGAATTTTGCAGAATAATATTGTTTACTTTCTCTTGTAGCCAAGCTTTGCTATTCTACTAGACGTTACTAAGCAGTATTATCTTTCAGTAGCACATGGTGTAACTATTAAAAGCATTTGGTTCTTCTATACCAGACAATCTTGGTTAGCTGTGTTATTACCTTGTTACCCTGAGGTATGGAAGAACAAAAATACTTTCAATTCTACTAAGAAGACCAGATGAATCTTCCAAAACATCATTGCACTATGTTTCCAACCACAAATAATGGTATTCAAATCAACTTGTTCCCACTTTAAACGGGGAACACAGTCACTAGTTTTCACATGGATGCATTTTTGGCCTCACATTTTTAGATCATTGCTTGGACAGAAACATCAGCTCTCAGCCCAAAGCATCAAGCAGTGACTCACGAGTCTGCAAAGAATGTCACAAAAACCTTTCTCTTAGGACAAACAACATGTGTTATTTAAAAAAATTTGCTTCCTCAGCTTCAAGTGCTCAAAAAAAACATATAAATCTTTGACAATAAAAACATGTGCTGTTTCGTTACTGGGGACCACTTCACACATGTATTAAAGCTGGGGTACCTATCTTTCAGAAATAGTTAATTTTGTGAAATGTTGTGAACAAATCAGACCACAACAAGTCTTCATCTTTTTGAAAAACATTACATAGTTTGCAGACTTACAAGAACAAGCCCTGTGAGTCACTACTTGACTCTGTGAAGTGAGATTTGATTGGCTGAGGGAAGATGGGCCTTTTTCAACTTTTTTGTCTGAAAAAGCTGTGACAACGGCCATGAGAAAACTTATGAAATAACCAAACCCTTTTGACAGAGAGGAATAGTTTGATAGATTGGATTACAAAATTTTTTTGTTTGAAAATAAGGTTATCCACATGAATTAAAACAAAAAATAATAGCTTCTGTGTCTTATTAATAATTTGTAAATAATGAATACGACTTTGAAAACGTTTCTTTTGTTCATGTTTTTGCACTGGCTTCCTGTGGCTCAGATAATACATTGTAAATCATACTGCCGGGACTCTGAGGAGCACGGGGACTGACCTCCTGCTGAGGCCCAGAATCAGGACTAAACATGGGGGGACAGCATTTCAGATTTATGCATCTAAAACCCCAAACAGGCTTCCTGAAAAAGTGAGACAGGCTTCTATGACAATGTTCGAATCCAGGTTATCCAGGTTACTGAAGGACTGATATATCTTCACTCTTTTTACTGTGATTATTTATGCTTTAATGCCTTGTGTATTATTGTCCTTTGATGATGCATACTCATCATTTTCTTCCATCTTGGGTTGCAGTCAGGCTGCACCCAGTCACTGATCCCTGCAGGGGTGATCCAGGAATGAGAATGATAAGTTTATTTCAGTCACTTGAACATTCCACACATCGTCAGGACAGTAAATAATGCTTATATTGCCTACCCTTTTTACAAGTGCCATTAGTGTTAGTGAATGCAAACAATAGCATTTAAATTAGCAACTATATCAATATCAAAAATCTGAGTTCAAGTGCCATCCAAAATGATAGTTTTAAACATTCTTTTGAAGTAGGGTTAGGGTTAGGGTTAAGTGAATTGCACGACTTAAGTTCATCATGCATCTGTTCCAGAGATCAACCCCTCTCACAGATAAACAACTTTTCATTACATTTGTTCTAAATTTTTGTTTTATGAACATATCTGTTCCTCTCAATTCATAATGACTGTCTCTGATTGTGAACAGCTTCTGTAGTGGTTCAGACAGAAGATCATTTTTTATCTTGAACATTATAATAAAACTGTAAAGGTCAACTAAATCATAGAATTTTTATATTTGTAGATTTATAAACAGCCCATTTGTTGGCTCGTTGTAGGCTGAGAATGTAATCGCTCTTATTGCCTTTTTTTGCAATATGAAGATTGGTTTAGTATTAGTTTTATAAGTGTTGCTCCATATCTCGATACAATTTGTAATATAGGGAATTACTAATGAGTTATATATAATAAGTAGACTCTTTTTATTTAAGATATATCTTTATTTATATTATTTATTATTGCTATTACTTTGGACAGTTTATTTCTGATATTGTTTATGTGTGATTTTCAACTGAACACATCGTCTATAGCACGCTGTCTTGCCTTGTGTATTAACTCCCCTTGCTTTAATGTAACACCCTCCTCTTTTCCCTCATTGCCGCGTCCTATCCGTCGCACTTTCCAGCCCACATGCCCCTGTGACTCCCAGTGCTCTTTGGCGCCCCCTGCCTTCCGCGTCTGGTCACTGGTGGAAAATGGCTGCTCGCTGTGCCTCTCTCCCGAGCGCAGCCCAAACTAAACACAACTAGCTTATCTCTTCTCTCTCACACTCTGGGTTTTGGGGATACTATTCTACCACAACAACCAAGGACTTATTGACACTTCGCCATGACTCGATGGGTACCAACCAAGAGGGAGAAGTATGGTGTTGGTACGTGACAAAACTTCTTCCATGCTCCATCGTTAGCTCTGTCCTAGCCTGTTATGCTGTGGTTATAAGTTTGCAAATGTGTTTAAAAGTGCGCTGTTAGCTTGTGTTAGCATTAGCAGCTAGTTTGAATGGCTTAAATGGACTTGGGCGCGCGCGTAATGCTATGGACGCTGTCTTTGCCGCTAAGTTTACAAGCAATGCAAATAAGGAATCTCTGCCTATTGTGTGTGTGTGTGTGTGTGTGTGTGTGTGTGTGTGAGAGAGACTGTGAGTGAGTGTCTCTCTGTGACTGACTGTCTGTGTGATTGTGTGTGTGTGTGTCTCTCTGTGACTGACTGTCTGTGTGATTGTGTGTGTGTGTGTGTGTGTGTCTCTCTCTCTCTCTGTGACTGACCGTGTAATTGTGTGTGTGACTGTCTGTGTGATTGTGTGTGTGTGTGTCTCTCTCTCTCTGTGACTGTCTGTGTGTGTGTGTGTGTGTGTGTGTCTCTCTCTCTCTCTGTGACTGACCGTGTAATTGTGTGTGTGACTGTCTGTGTGATTGTGTGTGTGTGTGTCTCTCTCTCTCTGTGACTGTCTGTGTGTGTGTGTGTGTGTGTGTGTGTCTCTCTCTCTCTGTGACTGTCTGTGTGATTGTGTGTGTGACTATTTGTGTGATTGTGTGTGTGACTATTTGTGTGATTGTGTGTGTGACTGTCTGTGATTGTGTGAGACTGTGTGTGTGTAAGAGAGAGAGACTGACTGTGTGTGTGTCTCTCTCTGTGACTGACTGACTGTGTGATTGTGTGTGTGACTATTTGTGTGTGTGTGTGTGTGTGTGCGTGTGTGTGAGAGAGAGATACTGCCTGTGTGTGTGCGTGTCTCTCTCTCTCTCTTTGACTGAATGTCTGTGATTGTGTGTATCAATGTGTGTGATTGTTTGTGTGTGTGTGTGTGTATGAGAGAGTGGGAATTATTAGGCGCGCCTAGTCACAGAGCGCTGTTTCCTGTCTGTCCATGGGGCCTCTGCTACAAAATGACCAGAGGCATACACTAACACACGCATGCACACACACTAACAGACACACACACAAACACACACCCCTGGCATAACATGGAACAATAATAATGGTGTCATGTTGGAGATATGATATGCCGTCACTGGAAGTATCTTGAGTTCTAATCATCTGTGGTTCAAGCTTCCGTAGAGACACACTATGATATTTGGACTTGTATATTGTCTTGTGTTTTGTATAGAGAGGGATAGTGGTTGTCGAAAATATAATAAGTTGGGGAAAAAGCATGCCGTTTAAATCAAAGTTACAGTTTTTGTTTGTCCCATAAGTTCAGATTTATGCCGCTAAAATCTGGAACAGTTTTCCTGAAAATGCTTCTACTCTGACAATGTTCAAATCCAGGTTAAAAGCAGTTCTTTTTAGCTGTGCATACAACTGAAGGATTGTTTTTATCTTCACTCTTTTAAATGTACTGTGATTATTTATTATTTTTATGCCTTGAATTATTGTTTCTTTCTTGTTTCTTTCACTTTAAGGTGGCTTGTGTATGAACTATGCTAAACAGTGAACTTGCCCTGTGAGTGAGGGCGGCCGTCTCTTCTACCACTTTTCTGACAGTAAAAGCTGATCTAAATATTTGACATACATTTTATCACAGAGTCTTTGTGGTTTGAAAGTTTGGTACCCCGGCTTTAGAGACCTTTTTTCTATCAAGTTTATCTCTTCTGATTTTGGGTGAAACATAGATCAAAAACACATAGGGTGCAGTTATGATTTGATGCTGTTTAGACCAACCTTTTTTTTACCTGGTATATATTAATACAAGTGTCATGACTTTTCAGAACAGAAACATTATGATGGTGAAAAGAATGAGAATGGATAGTACTGATATTAATATTATGTACAATATAATAATTGTTGTCGTTGTTGTTGACATAGTTGTGTTACTGACCAGGCAGCCAATGTGTATGTACTGTAGATGGGGTGGCAGTTTATAAGTCTTCCTTTTCAGGTCTCTATAGGGATGAAAAGGAAAATATAAATGTAATTATGTATTATGTTCAAGGTATGTATTTGAAAAGTAAAACAACTGAATCTTGTATAAACCTGAAACAAATAAATTACTGAAATGAAATGAAAAATGAATTTTAAAGAGTGTGCTTATGTCATCTCTTGACATAAGCTCAAAGGGTCTATCTGCATACTGCTGTGGTGGTTTGCAGCCTTGAACATATTAGCGGATTCATGAAATAAGTATGAATAGATGAGTGAGTTTCGTTCATTATGAGAAGCCCTTTGAGAATATATATATATATATATTTAATGACGTTACTGATCTGATGTAATGGCTGTCTCATACAGTACATGATTTCTATTAAGATTTATTAATTGAACTCATGTGGTCCCTGATGTTGACCTTTATGTTCAGCCCATATACTGTTACAAATTAGACTTGGAGTGATGTCTCATGTCTTCTCTTTGGATCTGAGGAGCAAATTGACTTAAGTAATTCTATAAAGTATGGCGAGTGCTATTTTATTGTTCACTTATCCTATCTTGTGTTGTGTGTAACGGTTAAGCTGTTATTAAATCATGTTTCCCAGGTAAAAACAGTCGTCTATCTGCTACAACATGAATACCTGCGGCTTATATTCAAGTGCGGCCTATATGTGGAGTCTTGTGGACAAAATGTACTTTCTTTTCAAATGTGGCTTGTCCGGCTATAGTCCACCAAATATATATGAACAACTGATGCTTGAGTTTTGGAGTCACTATTGAAACCTTTTATGAGACTTGACCAGGCTAGAGACAGAAACAAATATATTTTTGAATGTTGGTTCCAGCAGCACTAATGAGCTCCATGCTACAGCCTCATCACCCACGAGTGCAGACACCAAGAGCCAATTCTGTCCTTCTGGCCTTTAATAACTTGTCTGTATTATTACTGTATTATTATTTTTTACACCTATAGTTTTAATATGTCATTAAAGCATTGTCTTACATGGACACAAGAGCGGATTTTATAAAACAATATAAAAGTGCTGTTACTGCAATATTAAACTTTTGCCAAACTTAACAATAGATTTGACACAATATGAGCCTGCAAAAACAAAGATTATATCTAAACCAGGAATAACAACACTTATTTGGTGAGAATAAAATGTTAATGGCAGTTCAGTGCAGGACTATAATGTCAAGAATTTAGAAAACACATTTTATCCCAAAGCTTATTTCTGTTGATTTTCAAAGATGTATGAAAATCCAAAATGTAAGCGTTAACCAGAACAACACCATCCAATAAGTTGCCTGCTATTAACTATTAGTACTTGTCCCAGAGCTTGAGAACCAACACAGACGGCACTATTTTTAGGTCATTCATTGAGATACGCCGCCCACTCAGAGCCATGGAAGCAACAGTTCATTCATAAGAAGTTTAAGTTAGTCAGAAAATGATCAGAGCTGTTGTGTGAGCCAATAGACTTACCCAAGAACTGTTTAACAGAACTTATGTCGTGGTCAAGGAGAATTCTAATGCAAACTACCATTGATTAATACTGTTAAAACCTCATGTTAATTGACAGGTTAGATATCACTCCGCCTGAGGTGCCGCCATAGGAACACACAGCATTGAGCACAAACAGTTAGCTCTAGTCTATTGTTCAGCAGGTTATTGAATTTAGTTTCTAAACATGCTAAATAGGTATCATTTTTAAAGAAAACATAATTTGAATGTAGAAACACTTCTCTGTGTGTGTGTGTGTGTCTTTTTCTGGTTGTGACAACTAATAAAGTGCTAATAAAGTAGTCCCTCTCCTGAGAAATGTTTTGGAGAGTGTGTAGAGGGTAGGGATGTAAAAAACTATGAATTTTCATGACCGACCACCGAGCCTCATTAACCGGTTGAAACCGGTTAACCGCGTAGTTTAAAATAGTCCACGTTCTTTGAAATAACAACCATTTCGAGCCGCGTACTTTTCATAAGTGCAGCTCTGCGTTCTACTGGATCAGAGTTGAGACAGCGGCGCCCAAACCCGCAACAGCTCCGGCACCTTTGCGCACAGAGAACTGCTGTTTTAATCTTCCCATTCTGCTGTGCTGCGGGTTAATACCAAAACTTTCTAGCAGCAAACGACGGCTCGTTCACATGGTCAGAGCAGCGAGTGACGAGCCGCGTCTCACAGGTCTTCACAAAAGTTTAAAAACAAGTGATGTTTGTTGAGCTGATCCCGAGGACCATAAACACAAACATGTTCCATGTGGTTTGACTGGAGCTGCGTATTTGCGTGAATCCTTTGGGCTCCGTGACACAGAGGAGCGCGACAGACCGGTATGTGTGTGTGTATGTGTGTGTGTATGTGTGCACTTGTTTTCAACTCCTGGTGGGTTCCATAACCTGAGATTCCACTCACGTCATGGGGACTGGTTTTACGTGGTGGGGCCCGAACACCGGACCCCACTGGTCCAAGCTTAATAATCAATGGGTAATGCTTTTCTAACGGTCCTTATGCAGTCTCTGTAAAAATATGGAAAGGACCCCTGGAGGTTTACTTTCCTGAAAAAAGTGTGTTATGTGTCGGAACCCTGGTGGTGGGTTGCGGGATATCAAGGAGGGGCACACTGGGGCAATTTCAGTCCAGCAGGCTGGAGCCAATCATGGAGCAGCACAACAGAGGAAATCAGGTGTCAGGCTAGAAAAAGGTGCAAGTGTGTGGTTCATTAGGCTGCAAGAAATCATGGAGGAGCACACTGAAGCGCACGCTTACAAACCACTGGTAAGTGCTGACTACAAGTCATGACTTCAAATTGTTATATAGAATGATTACAAATTATTTGTTGTTTGTGCAGCTTAGTCAAGAGTCCCTAATTGATGAAGTCGACTCAGATTCTGACGATTTAACTGTCAAGAAGAAACCTGTAAAAAAGTATGGAAAAAGAAAAATCAAAAACACTTTTCTTCAAGACTCGGAAAGTGACGAACCAAAGGCAAATAAGATTGTTATCATG